GGGACCCTGCCCTATTCCCCGCCCTCCTGGGGGGTACAGTGTGAGGGATGCCATGGTCCCCCTCCCCGGGTTCCCTGGTCATGCTAACGGGGACACTAACGGGGCTATTAACCAGTGGCCACCCTGTGAGCTGGGGTGGAGGACCCTCGCTGCCCCCCCAGAGCGTCCCGCCAGCTCTCAGTGCTGTCCTTAGCCCATCAGAAAGGTCAGAGTTTGGGGGCCCCCCACTCTGCAAGCGCTAAGGAGGGACTCCTGCAAGGAATATTTTGGCCGGGGGCACCCAGGCCCAGCGCAGCTGTGCCACCAGCCTGGGGACATTCAGCTTGAGCACAATGGCAAAGCAAACCAAAGAAGTGGGGACAAGTCACAACAAGGTATCGCCAACTGCCAGAGCCCACCCCCGAGTGCCCTTTCCCATCCACCTCCCCCTGCCTGGCTGTCCCCCCACTTCCCCGTGGGCTCCCAAGCCTGCACCGGGGCATTGCCACCACCCTCTGTCCCAGCCACTCATCGCTGCCTGATTGTTCCTTGCGGACATGGGCAGGAGAGAAGGTCCAGCCCCAGGCAGCACTGTGTTCTGCCCAGGGTGATCCCATGGAGGTGCTCCCACAGCCACTGAAGCCTTCGCAGGTCCAGTGGGGAGCTTCGCCCCTCTGAAACCAACACCTGGAGGGGCTGCGAGCTGCCAGCAAAGCCAGGGGCAACAAGCTGGAGGGAAGCCGGGGATGGAGTGGGGCACAACAGAGCCCCTCTCACACATGCAGCTCCCACCACCAGCACTCAGCCCCAATGTTGCTGCCCAAACTCAGCTTTGCCCGTGCGGCGCACATCCACCCTGGAGATTCGGAGAGACACGCCGTGTCCTCAGGAACCCTGGTGAGCGCAGCGGGATGCCACATCTCACCACTGCCAAGGTCTTTCTAGGAAGGGCAATAAACCTTGTGAAAACATGGTAAGGCTTTCACCTCACGCACTAACGACCGTGGCATCGCTACACACACACACAGAGACACACACACACAGGTGCCGTTACAAAGTCCACCCGGGATGAGCAGATTCCCCCTGACAGCACACACTAACTCACTTCAGCCCCGGCACCCTGCTTTTGCCACCCAGTGTAGTTGGGGCCACAGGATCTGTCCTGGCAGGTGGCACTGGGGGGCACTGGGGGCAAGGGTGCTCGTGGCTGGGTCCTCGGGCTGCTGCACTGGCTCTGCAGGGAGCAATCAACCCCAGTCCAGCGACCAGCACAACCCAGCACAGCCCAGAGCAGCACAGCCCAGCACAGCCCAGCACAGCCCTGTATCGTCCTTCATGGGCCAGCACAGCCCACTACAGCTCAGCACAAGCCAGCCCACCCAGTACAGCCCAGCAGAGCTCAGCTCTTCCCAGCAGAGCCCAGCATGATCCTGCATGGACCAGCACAGCCCAGTACAGCTCAGCAAAGCACATGCCAGTCCAGCCCAGTGCAGCCCAGCGTTGCGCAGTCCAGCGTAGCACATCCCAGACCAGTACAGCCAGGTGCAGCCCAGTGTAGCCCAACATGGACCAGCACATGCCTGTACAGCTCAGCACAGCCCAGACCAGTACAGCCCAGTGCAGCCCAGACCAGTACAGCCCAGCGCAGCCCAGCACAGCCCAGTACAGATTAGTCCAGCCCAGTACAGCCCAGCATGGACCAGCACCGCCCAGCACGGACGAGCCCAGCCCGGCCCCGCATGAACCAGCACATCCCAGCGCTGCCCACCGCGCTCCAGCACAGCCCTCCCCCGGCCGCCCCCCGGTCCCAGGCTCCGACCGCCGCCACCGGCGGGCGCGGGGCGCCACCTGCTGGGACACGGTCAGGACCGGGGTCCGTGAGGGAACCACCGTCCGTGGGGTGGCGGGGACGGAGGGGGGACACCCCACCGGGCACCCCCGGCCCCGCTCAGCTGAGGCGGAGCGGGGTCCCGGAGGGGGGCGCCGACGGGGGCCGGCGCTGCCCGCTGCGCAGAGCTCCGTGCCTCAGTTTCCCCATTGCCAAGTCGGCAGAGGGTACAGGGGAGGCAGAGGAGCAGGGCTGGTGGCAGACGCTGGGCTGGCAGCTGTCCCCAGGGACCCCAAGCATGTGAGGCGCCCCAGGGCTGCTCCATCCCTTTCCTTGCTGGCACGGAGTGCAGCCGAGCTCGCAAAGCTTTGCCAGCCTCCTGCATCAGGGTCAGGGCAGCAGGAGGGTCCTGAGCCCAGTCCTGTGGTTTCCCAGTCACAACGGTGCTATGAGGTCCCCGCGATGGCCACAGCACCCTACATGCCCTCCTGGCCCATCCAGAGCAGCCCTGAGCATCTCAATCCCGCTTGCATGCCCTCAGAGCAGGGGCAGGAGCTCCAGGACCCCCATAGCCCTGGGGAGCCTGGGCTGATGTTCCCTTTGTGCTCCAGACTCAGCATTGGCCCCGGGCCCCAGCCCAGGTTTGGGAGCCCTGGGCATGTCCCAGGGGTGTCCCCAGCCAGGCTCCTCCCGCCCCAGGGCTGCTCCCAGCCCTTCACCCTCCCTGGGAATTGCGGGTGAAGTCCTCTCTTTAGGAAACAAATTGCTGTGTTGGCATTAAGGGCAGAGGCTGAGCTGCCGCAGAGGCTGCGGAGGCTCATCCCGCCCTGGTGCCGTTGGGGTCAGCAGGGATGGAGGGTCACAACTGGGGACACATCTGGCACACTGCCCCAGACCTCCTGCTCCACCACCAACACATCCCTGGGCACAGGAGCCAAGGCTCCTACAACCTATAGCTCTCGGCCACGTCTCCTTCCCCCTCCCTGCTGGCCTCGGGGACCTCTCCGGCTTTTCCCAGGGTGAGGCAGGAGCTTGTCCCGGCTTCAAGGGGTTCCGGATGCTTTGAAGGTGCGAAAGCACCGCTGGAGAGGGCTGGAGGGGCCGCGCAGCCCTTTCATCCCGGTCTCTCCGGGCGCTCGGCAAACAGGACCCAAGAGCCTCTCGCTGCCAGCACCCACGCCGGCTGCGCAAACACCGGTGGGTGGGTGAGTGCCGCGGGGGCTGCGGCACCGCGGGTGACAGGGCTGGGGGGGGCCACCCACGGGCCAGGCCAGCACCTCGCCGTGCCCCCCAGTCGCAGGGTGCTAGCTGCCGTGGCCCGGCCGGCTGCTGGCACGGCTCCGGCACATGATGCAAGGCAGTTCCCGGGGCCCCCCTGCCCTTTGAATCCCCACTGACAGCAGGGCTGGACTTTGAAGCTCCAGCCCCAAAGTGTTTCCCCACGGTGGATGGCCACCCTGAGCCTGATGGGTGTCCCAGGGGCACCCTGAGCTTGGCTCTGCCTCCGCCTGTCCCCATCCCGCTGCAGCAACAGCCTTCGAGTCACCCTGCTGTCCCCACAGAGATCCTGGGTCCCCAGGGACAGCAGAGGCTGTGAGACCCCATGCCAACACATCCCCAGCCCTCTTTCTTGTCCCCCCCAGCCTTGCAACACGTTCCCCAGGGTCCCACATGGGAGAGGTGCGGGCAGCACAGCGCGACTGCCTCGTGCTCTCATGCAACATGTCCCCTTTGTCCCAATGAAGCTGTTGGGCAGCAGCCGCGGGGCCCGCCTGGGCCCTTGCAAAACGCCTGCACAAGTCCCTGCGGGGTACGGGACCACCACGAAATCCTGCCCCACCATGTGGGGCAGGGGACACTGCTTACAGCCCCGGGGTCACACCAGCCCCAGCTCCCCGGGGGTGCAGCCACCCGCTCTGAATTTAGCAGGCAATGAAGTCCAGAGAAACGGGAGAAAAACACACCACCGGCTCCAGCCCTGCTGCCTCTTCAGCCCCCCTGGATCCGTTTTGCCCCTGGCATACCCTGCCCGATGCCAGGAGATGCCCCGAGCCCTGGAGAAGCTCTGCGGCATGCAGGTAGCGCTATCCCCAAGCTGGGGAGCCACGCCGAGGCTGGCCCGCAGCCCGTGGCCCCCCAACAGCTCTGGGACCCACTCGCTGCGGTTTGCCCCCAAGCCCATGCTCCCCGTCCTGGCTGGCCCAGCCCGGCAGGGCTGTCTGGTTTCGGGTGCGCTCACGCTTGCTCAGTTCCTGCTCTGGGCTGTGCCAGATCCATGACAGCGAAGAGGCGTGGGTGAGAGGTGGGATGGCAAAGCCACCATCCACCGGAGCAGACCCCATCCCTATCTTTGTCCCTGAGGCTGAACCGTGTCCCCAAAGCCATCATTTGGGTCCCAGACCCTGAAAAGTCACCCCCAGAGCCCGGTGATGTCCCCAGCTCAGGGATGGCGTTGCGTCACTGGGTTGGGGCATTTGAGCTCTGGTTTCGCCTGCAAGACCATCACACTGAGCTGGTCCTGGTGCCAAGGGTGACCCAGTGAGTGGCCCAGCCCCAACCACCTGCAGGTCCTTGGGGAACCCAAGCCTGGTGGGAGCTACTGCACCGACATCCCCACTGTGATCAGCCCTTTATTGCTGTGAGGATCCTTCAGAGCATCTGCTTGGGAGGAAGGTCGAAAATCCCCCACCGGAAATTGTGCAATACCAGACTTGGAGAAAATCCTCCTAATCCAGGGAAATCCTGGTCTTTCTACTTCTCCTACTTCATACATAGGGCAGAGCTGCACCTATCTGTGGTCTTTTTGCACAATCTCCAGCACAAAGGGCGGCTCATTGTTCCCCTAAAGCCACGTTTGCCCAGGAGGCAGTTTCTCAGCGCTCTGCTCAAGGACAGGAATGCAAAAAAATGGAGCTGAGGAGCCCCTGGGACAAAGGGGGCAGAGCAATAGTGCTGGGACCAAACACAATGGCAGCTGAGGACAAGATTACTCTGTCTCCGGGGAGCCCGGTCCCTCCAGGGTGGGCAAGTGCCACCATGGGAGTCCCCTCTGCTCCCACGCAAGATGCTTTCTCTGTGGTGAGGGAAACTGAGGCACAGAGCAGGGGCCCCGCACCGAGCCTGCAGGGTGTTGACCCAAACACGTAACCCAGTAGACCCCTCCTTATACATGTCAGGGAAACAGAACATTTCGGGGGTCCCAAATCTGTTCTTTGGGGGTGATGCAGGTCTGGGCTCAGGCAGGGACACAGACTGGTGGGCATGTCCCCAGGGACACAGACTCACATGGGTGTCCCCAGTGGCTGCACTGATGCTGCCCAGGGATGCAGTCATTGCCAGCAAGAAGGTGTCCAGGGCCCTCTGCTCTGCGCCGGCACCCAGAGCCAGCAGTGAGCCACAGCTACACGGCACTGCCACACGTTCCTCTTGGCCACCCGGCGCAGGAGGCAGCCCCGACCCCGAAATCGAGACCCCTTAAACCCGTTTGAGCTGCTCACCTCAGCGCAGGGTCACAATGCTTGTCCCAATCTCCCGAGCTCTGATGCTCAGGGAGGGCAGAGCCCGGCCAACTCATTACACAAGTGCGCCAGCCCATCCCTGATACCACGCTCTTTTCTCCTGGGGAACCTAGGGGTTTTCCAGCTCGCACGGGGGTGTCTGCTCTGGGGTGCCCGGTGCCAGATGCACCCGAGCCAGCATGGCACAGCGGGGTGAGGAGCCCAAGACGGGTCTCTGCCGAACCGGCTGCGCAAGCAGCATCGCCCACACCTCGCTCCCCTCTTGCTTCAAGGTATTTTGTGTCACTGAACACATTTGGACAGCCTGAAGCCTCGCACGGGCCTCCTTCTCCGGTGGGTGGCATCCCTGAGCACCCAGCGGGATGGGGCACGGGGCTGTGGCGTGTGGCAGTGCCGGGGGAACCCGCCGCACATGTACGAGGGGCCTGAAACCGTGAGTCAATGGTGACACCAGCTCAGTGCACCCGAAACTGGGGACTGCCTGGAGCTGCTGTGCCACCGCTGTACCACCACTCCATGCCAGGGTCCACCTGCACCGCTTGTCCTCAGTGCCTGCTTGGGCTCTGCTGCATCCCAGGTCCCTGCTCGGTGCCCGCTGCCTGTCCCTGTCCCCATGTAAGGGCAGCTCCAAGTCCAGCTCCAAGTGGCAATCAGGTGATGGCACTGGGTGCCACGCTGGTCCCGCTGGCTCGGCTCCACTCTGCAGCCCCAGCTCCCAGCACATCTCAGGGTGATCTTTGAACCCCGGTGGCCTGAGCCAAGCAGAGTTGGTGGCTGTCACTGTGGTGACACGGCACCGGCACAGGGCGTACGTGCGCCCGCCGGTGGGCAAACAGCACCCAGCACAGCTGAGAGGCACTGGGATCAATGTCCCCGCGGCCATCCGGCACAGGGGACACCGCAGGTGGCCCAGGGAGAGGTGCTGGGGTCTGGGAGCCACTGTCACCCACTGAAGCTGCTGTGCAGCTGTTGTCCCCTTCGATGGGCCCACATGGAGGGGGGTTGAGAGAGGGGCCACACTGGAGCCGGCACTGAGGGTCTCCAGTCTGCAGCCCTCACTGTCTGGTGTCACTGGGCAGCCATGGAACAGGGAGGGTGACAGTGCCTCCACCAGCCCTGTCCCCTTGTAGGGCAACGCAGTGTTCACTCAGCCTCTGCCATCACCGGGGACACCTGGGGGAGGGAGGATGGAGGGAAGAGGGGATGCAGGAAGGGAAGGGATGGAGGGATGAGATGGAGTGGGGGGATGAGGGATGGGGGAATGGAGACATGGGGGAACGGAGGGATGTGGTGTTGAGGGATGAGGGGATGAGGAACAGGAGAACGGAGGGATGAGGGAATACAGATGTGGGGATGGAGGGATGGGGGAATGGAGGGACGGGGGAATAAGGAAAGGGGGAACGGAAGGGTAGGGGAATGGAGGGATGAGGGATGAGGGAATGGAGGGATGGAGGAATGGAGGGATGAGGGGATGAGGAATGGGGGAATGGAGGGATGGAGGAATGGTGGGATGGGGGAATGGAGGGCTGAGGGCTGAGGCGATGAGGGGTGGGGGACAGAGGACACATGGGCTGAGGACGGGGCCGGAGGGAAGGGGCTGGGGGCTGGAGGTAGGGCCGGGGCAGGAGGAGGAGGAGGAGGCCGCTGCCGGGGAGGCGGAGGCGGGGGCGGGCGCGGCCCCTCCC